AAATATTATTAGTATACCCACTCACCAACTAGTCCCGATGGACACTAACATTTGCTTCAGATTTTTAAAGAAATAAAACATTAGAGGAAAGTTAAAGCCTCCTGCATGTTTCTTCTGCATTCAAGAAATAGTAAAAGTCATGAATTGGTGCTTGCTACTTTATGATATTTTTACAAATGCATGTATCCATAATCAATTTATATTATTTCCTGCATTGTTCTTATTTATGTATCATTTTAGAACTATTCTGAATGGTCTTTTAAAAGATACATACATGTTGAAACATTTAACTCTAGTTTGTTTTGTCTTTTAATTTTTTTATTTTCATCAAGTAACACATACATATTAAAAATACAAATTGTCTTACAAGACTAATACTGGGAAACAAATAAATCAGTTACCTGCATAATGTATACCTCTTAAATCCTCTTTCTCAAAGTTTTAAAAAATTTCTCCTACTATTAAGTAATTCCATTATTCATTTCTTCTCAAATAAAAGGGTTTTTGAAGTACAAAATACCGTGTATAGAGAAAATTGCACAAGTGATAAGTGAACAGCACAATTTTTACCAAGGTAACACATAGGTATAAACACCACAAAAATCAAGAAATAGAATATTGTCAACACCTGTGAATCATTCCTTCTCCCAAGTACTACGCATGGCGAAGGCAATCACAATCCTGACACCTATCACCCTGGATTGGTTTTACCTCTTTTTGAACTTTATGTAGATAGTACACAGTGAGTATTATTGTGTCTGCTCTATTTCTCTCCAGATTATGTCTGTAAATATCATCCTTGTTCATAGGTGTAGGAATAGTTTGTTCATTCTTTCATTCTATATTGCTAAAAACTATGCCCATGGAGTTTCTTGCCCATTTAATTGTAGACATTATCTATTGATTTAGGCAATAATAGGAAATCCTGTTGAAGTACAAATTATCATTTAAGTTATTCCTGTCATTGAAGTTGGAAGTTAACATTTTAAGAGCTCATCAAAGCTACATTCCACCTCTTCTGTTACTTCTTTATAACCGTATACCTTATTCAAACTGTGTTTTATTTCCCAGTGTGCCAAATAATGAACTAAGACAAAATTGCCTAGGTTTTATAACCTTTTTTTCCTAAATGTATAATCATATTGATTTTTTCCCAAATTCTTCAATAAAATTAAAAATGGCTCTATTTTTGTACATGTTCCAAAAATTCCTTTCTCCTACCATAGAGACGTTCTGGAGAAGTTTTCTTTTTAACCAATCTATATTAGAATTGCTGCACAGCTCTGGTTTGAGAATATTCAATCTTGTTTCCATTGGGATATGTGTATTTATCTTTTATTATTTTCTCACTCATTTTGGTAGAATATATGCTCGTGTAATTTACTGAGAAAGAGTGATGGGAAGGGAGTCCTGTGGGAGTTGTATGATCGAAAATGTGTTTAATCCTTTAAAAAGTTTATGTGTTTAATTTTATTTTTTAAAAAAATATACCTGGGAATTTTAAGTCTCCTTCATTGTCTTTTAGCTTCTTTTTAGAAATTTAAGGCCATTCTTATTGTCGTTCACTTGTACATGGCTTGCTTGTTTCTTTATGAAAACATTCAAGATGTTTTTCTAAAGATCTAGGACTTCAACATATGTATTTTTAGAGGGCCATAATTCAACATCCAAAAGTGTCTATGTTCATAATTCTTTTACTTGTCATTTGCTGAGCTTCTGGAATATTTAGGGGTATGGTGTTTCTCAAATTTGAAAAGGTTTCATCTATAATACACTCAAATGTTTTTAATTCCCCTTGATTTTTCTCATGTGGGAATTACAATTAAACCTATGTTAAGATAATATAATTCCCACACCTCACAGATGCTCTATGAATTTCAATTAGTCTTTTTATTTTTGTCTCTGAACTTTGTTTTACAGAGTTTTTATTGCTGTATCTTCAAGGTCATTAA